TTGGTGTGTCGATCTTTAAAATAAGTGTAAAGATAACATGGGGATTAGATAACATCATCCCATGTTCAACTTTAGAGTTAGGTTTTCGTGCTGCCTGAGGGCACTTAAATACTGCACTGAATGATCTCTGAGGTAGAACGAAAAACAAAAGGGCGAACTATTCACATGAGAAGGGACCTGGGCATGAAAGCTGTGAGCGAGGCCTTCGGAACACGTTCAGTCCGAGGCTTTGCCGTCGTCCTTGGTGCAAAGCTGAGAAATCGTCTTCTTAATACGGAGGGCAGTGAGGCGAGCTGCCCCGTTGGCATACCAACATTCCCGCATTATTCTCCCCATGACTCGGAGTGCCTTCAAGAAAAGGAAGGATAGGACAATTTTAGCTACTCACACAAAACAGTACAAATGAAGCAGAACCACAAAGTCAGTCATAGTACCAACCTTTGATAAGAAATAATAAGCCCAAACTATAGTTTAGCTTAACTCCTAAAGAACGCCGGCCTTGATCATTGCGCTCTTTTGCAGATCTTTCTGTAGGGGGCCAAACTGACAACACCACTGGAAAGAGTCGACAGGGAATTTAGCGGCAGTGAGTATACGCTGATGGGGGAAGAACAAGGTAGAAAAGGGGGGTAAAAAGGTCCCACACTTCACAGAATGGAATCAGGGTCCCCTAATTGGACATCTTGAAACTGGGGAATAGTGTTGTCCAGTGAATATTCTCAACAGCAGCAAAATAAATCAAAACTTTTGCCAGAAGTAGTAAACCGAAAACCACATGAGAAATAAAATTAGGTTTATAAAATAATTTTTAAAAAAAAGAATAATGAGGGTAACAAATGTACAAATGTGCTGTATATGATGGATGGATTTATGGATTGTGATGAGTTGTATGAGCCCCCAATAAAATGACTTAAAAAAAAATCTGTCAAACATCCCCTTACAGAAAGGTCACGAGGAAGAGATGAGCCAGTCATGGTGCAGTATAGTACCGATGAAACATACAACTTTCCTCTAGTTCTTTAACACTTCTTCCCCCACCCCCACAATCATGACCCCAATTCTACTTTACAAATCCAACTAGACCAGAGCATGTACATGGGTACAGATAAGAGATTGCAAGACAGGGAATCCAGGACAGATAAAACCCTAGGGCCAATAATGAGAGTAGCGATACCAGGACTAGAAGTGGAAGTTGGGGGGAGTAAAAGGGAACCGATCACAAGGATCAACATATAACCCCCTCCCAGAGTGAGGAACAACATAAAAGTGGGTAAAAGGAGACAGCAGTCGGTTTAAGACATGAAAAAATAATTTATAAATTATCAAGGGTTCATGAGGGAGGAAGAATGGGGAGGGGGAAATGAGCTGATATCAAGGGCTCAAGTAGAAAGAAAATATTTTGAAAATGATGATTTTGCTACAAATGTACAAATATGTTTGACACAATGGATGTATGTATGGATTGTGAGAAAAGCTGTATGAACCCCCAATAAAATGATTTAAAAAGTAAAATGATGGTAACATATGTACAAAGATTGACACAATAGATGGATGCATGGATTGTGATGATAGCTATACGAGCCCCCAATATAATGATTTTTTTTTAAAAAAATCATGTCAAAAATGGGTGCATAAGCAAATGTGGTGCAGAAAGCTGATGGTGGCTGGCTATTACTAGATATAGCATCTGGGGCCCTGAAGGCTTGAAGCTAAACAAGCAGCTATCTAGCAGGGAAGCAACAAAGCACATGGAAAAAGAACACCAGCTTCTGTAATCATGAGGTGTTGACGGGAGCAAGTATCGGGCATCAGAAAATCCAAAACAAACAATCATATCCATCCAAATGAGGGGGATTGGAGTGGAGACCCAAAGCCCACCTGTAGACAATTGGACATCCTCTCACAGAACGGTCATAATGAAGGGACAAGTCAGCCAGGGTGCAGTATAACACCAATGAAACACATAATCTTCCTTTAGTTCTTTAATATTTATCCCCCCCCCACTATCATGATACCAGTTCTACTTTACAAATCCAGCTAGACTGAAATATGTACAATGGTACAGATAAGAGCCCTCAACACATGGAGTCCAGGACAGACAGACTCCTCAGGAACAGTAATGGGAGTAGCAATACAAAGAGGGTAGGGGGAAGGTAAGAGGAGAAGGGGGAGAAAGGGAGGACCAATCACAATGATAGACGTGTAACCCTCCCCAAGGGGACAAGTAACAGAAACAGGGGTGAAGGGAGACAGCAGACAGTGTAAGGTATGAAAATAATAATAATACATAATTCATCAAGTTTTCCCGAGGAGGGGTGGGTAGAGGAAGGAGGGAAAAAAGAGGAGCTGATACCAAGGGCTCAAGTTGAAAGAAAATGTTTTGAAAATGATGATGACAACATATGTACAAAGTATGCTTAATACAATTGATGTGTGGATTGTTATAAGAGCTGTAAGAGCACCCAATAAAATAATTTGTAAATAAATAAATCAGTCAAAACACACTTAAGAATTCTTAATTAAAATTTCAATCTGCTCATTTGGTAGAATAGCTAATTTTTAAATCAGTGGCTCTCAACCTTCCTAATGCTGCAACCCTTGAATACAGTTCCTCATGTGGTGGTGACCCCCAACCATAAAATTATTTTCATTGCTACTTCATAATTGTAATTTTGTTACAGTTATGAATCGGATGACCCCTGTGAAAAGATTGCTCTACCCTCCAAGGGGTTGCGACCTACAGATTGAGAACCGCTGTTATAAATCTTCTAAGTCTAAGGAAGGGGCCTAAAGAGCCCGGAGATACAGGGTGGGTTAGAAATACCCCGTACCTTGATTTGAGAGTGTCGACATTTTATCAGACATATACTGATTTGTTAATTTCACCATACTTAAACTATCACAAAATAAAAATAATTTTCAAAACACATAATATCAAAATTCTGAATTAAAAATTCAGCGTAATGATCTGGAAAGCAAATCTGAGAAATATATACATAAAGACACAACTATAAAAATATGACATTATAAAAGAAAAGTTAAATTAATTTTTAAATTTTTACCATGCATATAATGAGTTTTCCAATAATGGATACTAGAGATGGCAAGAGCAGGAATTATTTGAATGATTTTGCAGAAATTAAGAGGGTCATAAATCCTTTAAAAAAATCCCCCAAATTTTAGGCATCTAAATTAAACACTTCATGGAGAACATCAAAGACATAGACAGAGATATGAGGAAAGCAGCAAAGAATCTTCAAAGACAGAGAAGATTTTTTTTTAAATAGTGAAAAAGAAAAAGAAACAAGAATTTGATGACCAACTGAATTCTCAACATTAGACATGAGAAGTTAGTGGAATAACTTTAAAGTGGTCAGAGCATATAACTATTAAAAAATGTGTATGTCCAGATGAACTTTTTGTTAAAGAGTGGAGGAAAAGTGAATGACATGTTCAGACATTCAAAAAGTAAAAGAACTTACAATCAGCCGCTCAGTCATCCCACAGAGTCGATTCTGACTCATAGTGTCCCTATAGACAGAGTAGAACTGTCCCCCCACCCCACCCCACCCCCTGGGTTTCTCAGCCTGTAACTCTTTACAGGAGAGGACAGCCTCATCTTTCTCCTGTGGAGGGGCTGCTGGGTTCAAACAGCTAACCTTGCAGTTAGCAGCCCAATATGCAGCCTACTGTGCTACCAGGACTCCTTTAGACCCTCATTTAAAAGAGAACAAATTATTTCTAAAAGAAGTCCAAAATTCAGAAAATTATCTAAGGAGCAAGTTTTGAAAGACTAAAAGGAATGTTGAACAAAATAAAAAGCATGGCTAAATCTAAACAAAGCATTATAGTATAAATAATACTGGTGTCTAATATGTGTGATTATCTCAAAATAAAGCAGTACTGTTGGTTTTTTTTCCTCTTGGTGTCTATCTATAGAAGATGAGCAGGCTAAGTAGCCCCAGCCCCACAACCCCAAGGAAACATCCAGGGGACTGACAACTGGGGTGTGAGGAGGGAAGGAGGCCGCGGGCAGGGAGTGGTGAGCCAGTACCGACAGGGACAGGGGAATTGTAAGGGTTCTAAAATTGACAGTGAGCAGGGTGTAGCGTTCCTGGTCATGTTTGATCAATTGAAATATATCTGGAAGGAATTACTGAGAGGTGAGCGATGAGTACACATGACAGTGATGCAGGAGCAAAGAAATAATAATAATAATAATAATAAAGTAGTACTGCTAGGCAGTTTGACCAAAACTGCATATGTCAGCTATGTACAAAATAGATCACAAATAAAATATCTATATTGGGTCTATTCTAGGAATGTATGAGAGTTTATCTTCGGAAAATATAAATGCAATTACCCACATTAAGTAAATAGAAACATCGTATTATTGCCTCATAGATAAAGGGAAAATTTTAATACGCTAACATCAAGTTTTACTTCATCTACTTAAATTTCTCCCTGTAAAAGAAAAACTGTAGCAGACATATTATTCAAAAGTGAAAGATAAAAAGTTTTAAGGAACAAGAGAAGCCTGCTCACTACCATAACTTTCAGACAACAACACAAGTGAAGTCCCATACATGATCCTAAGAAAGACAGGGAAGCAGTAAGCCCCATCTCAGAGCATTTGTTAACTTTAGAAATCACTGGCTACATGGACATCTGAAAGAACAAACAAGCCAACAGCTATAGTGCTATACCCTGAAGTATCTTGTCGACATATATTTGTAGCAGCATTGAAGTAAAAATCACACACATGACAATCAACAGTGGAGTGGATAGAAGTTGTGTTAAATCCATTGTGTTAACTTCATGCAATGAAATGCAAAACAGCAATGAGAAAAACAGACAGTAGAGCTATATGCATAGTGGAGAATGAAAAATTTGGAGAATGAGATTCAATGAGTTTCACAAATACAAAAAGTAGACAACATATTTTCAGAAGATGTTTCTGTGTGCGTGGGTGTGTGGGTGGGTGTGAACATAAAGAAATGCAAGTCAGTAATAAGTGTAATAGTAACCTTACAGAGAGGTATGAATTTCTTTGAAGTATCAGAAATATTTTATTTTTAAATTTGAGAGTAGATTCGCTAGTTTTTATGCTACGGTTATACTTTAAACTTTACCTACATGTTGCATATTCTTTTATATCCATGGCATTACTAATATTAGAAACATCTCAATTTCATTTATATTGGGTTCAAAAACCTAATTCTGCTTCTCAAAAATTATGGACATGAGTCTCTGTACCCACTGTCGTTGAGTCTGCACTAACTCATCATGGCCTACAGGACAGTGTGCTTTCCCATCGGCTCCACCACATCTTTGTCGCCAGAGTGGCTGCTGGGTCTGAATCCCTGACCTTCTGGCTAGAAGCCAAGCACATTAACGACTACGCAATTAGGATTCCTTAAGCATAAAATCATAAACAAATCAAGGCACAAATTTGGTCTTACCCAGAAAGAGTTAAGTGAGACATGAAGAGAGAAAGTAACCATGCAAAACAATGTCCATGAGAAATCCAAGCTAGAAGAGGCCATTTAAAGAGACTTCAAACACTATCATTAAATATGGCCGAAAATAAAAGGCAATAGGGGAGAATAAAGCATTAGAAAAGTTCTAGAACTGATTGTATGGTTTAGAATCTTTCCCTCTCCCTCAGCATTCCTCCTTTCTCCTTGTGAGAGCAAAAAATGTCAATTTTCATGCAAGGCAGAGAAAATCCTCTAGTAACTATTTAATGTGCATGCTGTGTATGGTTAGCACATTCGTTGCTAATGAAAAATCGATCCAGAAGTAAATCCTGTCAATCTACTTTGGAAGAATCATTCATTGAAAACCTTATGAAGTACAGTCACGCTCACCGTGAATTGGAATTGAGACAAGTGCATTTTTTTTAGCCATATAATGGGTTACTCTGATGGGCTGTGAGAAGCTCTGGTGGCATTGTGGGTTACAGGTTCTACAACTAACTTCAAGATCAAGAGTTCTTGATCCCCCAGCCCCTCTGTGGGAGAAAGTTCAGGGTTTCTACTCCAGGAAGAAGTTAAAGTCTCAGAAACCTACAGCGGCAGCCCTGCTCTGCCCTTTAGGGTCCCTCTGAGTTAGAACTAACTCAAGGGCAGTGAATTTGGTTTTTCGTTTTTTTCTATTGAGCTGCTGACAATTCAATAGCCATGGTTCCTGCCCTCAAGGAGCTTCCCCAGCGCAGAGAGTAAGCTTCCCCTTCAGAGGTTTAAAGACAGGAACAATGCATTGAATATGTTGGTGGCGATGCTCTGAAACTGATTCCAACTCAGTAGCCACCCGATGTCAGAGTAGAACTTCTCTGTAGGGGGTTCTTTCCTGAAATTTTTATAGCGACAGAGTGACAGCTCTTTCTCCCATAGAGCCACTGGGTAGGTAAGAACTGTAAACATTGTGGTTAAGTAGCCCAGGACTTACCTAGTGCACTTCGAGGACTGCTTATATTGATTATAAGGATGGTTAAAATGGTAACATTTTGTGCTCACCGAATATGCTTGGGTACCCACATTTGCCAGTCACCTGGCAGCTAGCTGTGATAGAAGAGTTGCCCACCATGATGTGTGTATGGATTGGGATAACAGTTGTATGAGCCCCTAATAAAATGTTTAAAAAAATAAATAAAAATAAAAAAAAAGAAGAGTTGCCCACCAGAAGACTATCTATAGGAAGAGATAAGGTCTCGCTGTGGTAAACCATTAATTTTTTCATGTCTTGTTTGATACTGCCCACATAATCTAGCACTTTGTAATGTTTTTACTTGCCATTGTGCCATAGTGCTAAAAAACTTAAATCTTTCTAAAGACATTAAAGGATGCATACCTACATATAGGTACTGAATTAGATCCCTAGACTGAGGTGAAGGTTATGGTATTTGAGGAGTATTCTCAGACACATAATCAAAAATTGAGAATGAGTATAACAGAAGTGCAGGCTTACTTCACAGCTCTGCCATTGGTTCGGGATATTTGGTCGAAGTTTCTGGTCACAGACGACTTTTCTCATTTCCTCTAATGAGGGATCTGAAGGCACCAAGTCATAATAAGGCAACTGGTAGTCTTCTACAATTCCTGCGTGAAATATGCACAATAAATCACATTTCATGCTTACTAAATGATGACCATTTCAAAATAATATCCATTAAAATTTTTAGGCACAGTGGTTCCCAAGGGAGCTGGAAAGCCAGGTTTATTAAATCAGTGTATTATTATAAAGCCAAGGATATGGACTCAAAGCATTCAATTGAATAGGTAGAATTTGAATTTATGTACAGGTTCATGATTCAATTAAAAAATAATGCCTACTTTCTCCTACTTGAAGAATTTACAGGACATCCCTGATGGATTTTCAAAGTACACTCACTTTCTCTCTTTGACATTGTGCAACTTTGTGAGCAGCTGACTTTCTTAACTTTGGATCTTAGAATGACTGCACCTGAGGATGTTCCTGAAAAGCAGCCAAAGATGGTTGAAAATGAGCAGTTCAATAGGGAAGGTAATGTTCAAATGGTCTCAAATACAATGTCAAAGACTTGACTTTATTTAGCTGAATATTAACTGGATTCCAAGAAATTTTCCTCGCTCCCCACCCCAATTTATTTTCTTTAACTACAGCCCTTTTGGAGCACTGGTAATGCTGTGGGTTAGGGGTTAGACTGCTAATATCAAAGTCTGAGGTTCAAACCCCTCTGTGGGAGAAAGATGAGGCCGTATGCTCCTTCTAAAACCCTAACCCACTGCCACCGAGCGAGATCCTGCAGGACAAGGGAGAACTGTAATGGGAGTAGAAAGCCTCGTCTTGCTCTCTTAGTGCCGCTGGTCATTTCAAACTGCTGACCTTCTGGTTTGCAGCCCAATGTGTACGCTACTCTGTCAGCAGGACCACTGGGGATAAAAGGGATTCAAAAGGAAAAGTCTAAGAAACAGAACCGTCAAGAGTTCTGGCCTTGGGAGCAAATATAATTTCTTTGGGTTTCAGTGGGAAGAAAATGAACTGCATACAAATTCAAATACGATCATTTTTTAGTGCTCCTTAAAGTTTCACTATAGGAAGCAGAATTATCAGAAGTGCATCCTCCACCCCTGCCCCAAGCTCTGGTCACAGGATAAAACGCCCAGCACTTGCTGTAGGCTCTGCTGTCACTGCTGGGAAAACAGCGCCCAAAGTTAGTTTCCTAACTACTTAGAAAGAAGTTAATATACCGCTTAGAAGGACATATCAGGAAATCAAATCTTGTATTTAGAGCAGTGGTTCTCAACCTTCCTAATGCTGCGACCCTTTCATACAGTTCATCATGTTGTAGTGATCCCCCAATCATATCATTATTTTCGTTGCTACTTCATGACTGTAATTTTGCTACTGTTATGAATCGGGCAACCCCTGTGAAAGGGTCGTTCAACCCCCAAAAGGAGTTGCGACCCACAGGTTGAGAACCGCTATTGTAGAGCATCATGGGAAGGAAAACAGAAACACACCCAAAGTCTTATAAGCCGTACCTCCAACTGAGCACCTACGGGCTATTTCCCAATAGACCAGACCAATGGAGTAAATGTCAGCACGTTTGAAGGACTCAAAGATATTCACATTTATGGTCTCATCGAGCACTTCAGGAGCCATGTACCTACAAAAATAGGGAAGTTTCAGATTTTGTGTATGACTTTGGTAGATACACAATTTTAATACAGCTTGATGCGAGATAAAAATTTCGATAGCTTACATTAATTTTACACGTAAACCTGAGGCATGATAATAAAATTTGATAATGGTTATTAACTTTTCCATCAATTAAAATTTTTTCACATTGTACACTTTAAAAAAAACGTTCATTGGCATATAATTCACAAATCATATGATTCAATAGTTCAATCCCATCAAGAAGAGTTGTACAGTCATAGCCAAAATCAATTTTAGAACGTGTTCATCCATCTTGTGCTCACCACTATTAGCTCCCCAACTCCCCCAACCTCCTCTTCTGCCGTGCATCGAAGAAATCATTAATCCAGTTACTGTCTCCATAGGCTTACCTACCCTGGATTTCATATACAGAAAAACATTTTTAAAAAATAACCAAAAAATGAATAATACTAATAAGGTAAAATAGAAAAGACTCAATCAAAAAGAGAGCAGAAAATATTAAAAGTAAAACAAATGTAAAATAGATCAAAAGACATCCAGAGGCACCTCAGAAGAAAGCTTCAGTGAACGACTTGCAAAAACAATCAGCCTCAGCCTTTGCAAACCACTGGATGACGTGAAACCCCAAACTCTTATCAGCAGCCCAACCAGAGCCCTCTCTCTGTGGGCAGCATGTTTCCATCAAGGTATTGTGTGCAGGACTCCAGCAAAGTGCTTGGCAACATTCCTCAAAGAGCATCTCTGAGTGACAATGTCATTATCCAGGAGCTTCAAGAAAACTACAGCCTTGTTTGAACGGTATTCCATGGAAGGAGTCTACAGTTCTGACGCACCTGGCTGAGGCTCGCTGACCTAGGAGATTGCGAGGGCTTTTCAGATTCTTCAGTCCTTGACTCAACACCATCTCTAGGCCCGGTTTCTGTTTTAGAACCTCTGAGGGAATCAGCTACCCAGGCTTCTGTCAACTGACTGTCCCTCCTCGTGTGAGGACAGTCTGATGGCAACTAAGGTTTTGTTTATCCAGGGAAGGCGAGTGAGGTCCCTTTGGACTGTACCTTCTAAATAAACTCCCCTGAAGGGTGCCTGGGGGGGGGGGCGCCCCCTTTAGAACAAGGTGAAGGCTCATAGGACTGTCCTGAAATCTCAGATATGGAGGCCAGTTATAGCAGCTTAGAAATTCTGTTCTCTCAAAGGCCTTTAAGAACCCCAAAGACACTGGTTTGGGTGGTTTCAAGAACCCAGGCACTACACCAAGAGTAGCAGTGTCTCAATCAAGAGGAAGATTTTTTTAAAAAAACCACAAATAAAAGGGAATAAGGCCAGCCCACAGCTAGCTATAACAGCAACAACAAGCCTACCAAAAATACCACTACGGATGGCCCTAACCTCATCCTTGTGTGGGCTCAGCTTCAATTATGCTTGTTCTTGATTTTCAGAGATTCGTGAAAATGAGAAATGTGAAAACTCATTGTCTTATAATATACATCAATTTGGGGGGCATAGGATAAATATGACAATTGGTTAAAACAGAAATTATTACATAATATTTTAAACACTAATGGTATATAACGGCACATGCTCTATAGATTATGTGTATTCTGTTTATGATGTTATATTTATTATATTAAGTCCCCAATTGGTATATTGATTCTGTATTTGTTAGATCATACTGAGCTAGGACAATGTTTTTTATTATTCTCTTCAACTTTTTATTGTAATCTAGGTGAGAATTTCCAGAGCAAATGGGTTTCCTTCTCAAAAATTCATACACATTTAGGCTCTTGGCATTGATTGTAAATCCGACGATGTAATAGCACTCTTCCCACTTTTCCAAGTGTCTGCCATTACTGTTCTTCTCTCCAACCCCCTCCTGCCTTCCAAGCTCTATCCCTGGGCAAATACTGCCCTTGTGATCGCACGGGTTGATTATTCTAATGATTTACCAGGCTTGAAGGGTGTTGTGTTAGTTGGGTTTATGGTGCCAGCTAGACCTACATAGGAACCTCTGGGTGGAGTTTAATCAGGTGGCAGCTTGACTGGAGGGCGACCAAGATAAATTTCTTACACTGCTGTCATCCAGTCTCTTTCTGAGCCAGTCCTTTGTCTAACGCATGTTGCGCTATTGTAAAACAGCCACCTGTGAATCCAACCTGAGAATCGTGTGGCCCTGCAGTGCACCATTGAGGTGCAATGGAGACCTGCTTCCCCACACTTCCCGACCATCTTACAGGACCCTTCGCTGCACTCCTGCACTGCAGTGGCTGCCCAACCCTTGTGTCTTGCCTGAGGGCAGACTCCAATGTCTGCTTCCTTGACCTTGGACCAATGGCTTCATGAGTTGAACTGAGCCCTCTGTACTGCTGTGTGGACCTATGAGCTGTTGTATTCCTTCTCACTCTACAAC